ACGGGTGGGGGGGGAACCGGTCCCCGTTTTGAGACCCCCCAATTTTTTTAACGAAATTGGTTCAGCCTGCATTACTGCGCGGGGACCGGTCCCGAGAGAGGAGGTTGGGGATTAATAATTTTGACTCTTCTCCCGGGCCCGGTTTTTTTGTTAAGGCCGGGTGGGCAATAGTTTCCAAGGATATTTTATTTGAAAATTTTTTTTTGGGTTAGGGTCCCAATTTACAAAAGAGTAAAAAACTCCCGGGATAACCCCATTTATTTTTAGGTTTTTTTTTTCCAAGCCAAAACAACGTTCCCCCCCCCCCCCCCCTAATGAGTGAGTGCGATTGGAGGAAGATTTGTAGGTCTGTAGTGTAGGATAGATAGCAAAAAACTCTCAACATGCGGACAAGATTATATGGGAGGGAAATAGCAAACATCAGACAGGATATCCAGCGACTCTTTCGTTGACCAAGAAATCAAAGAAGGAACGGTCTCGGAAAGGGCTGATATCTTGTAGAATACGCCTTGTTGTGTATGCTGAAAAGCAAAAAAAAAAAGCAAAAATCTGCTTTTGAAGCGAAGGATGGGAAATAAAATTCTGGGAAGAAACCCAAGCAAGAAAAAGTCCGATAGAGCCGTCACCAAGTCGCCTATATACCCCGTTTTAGCCACCCAGATCCACGCTTAGAACCAACAGAAGATACCCAAATTTATTACATGAATACAAAACCTCTTTTTCTCAATGAACGCCTGTAACTAATCGTCGGGATTTGCAAGCTAGATATGGATGTCAGCACCATGACATTTAACTAAGACCTATAGATACTCACCCGTAACACCCTCCTCGAATAATCAGTATCATCTCTTAAACTCCTTACACTCATCCGCGAACTGCCGGTGTCTGGGTCATAGCGCAGATATATTTGGTTAGGGTCAAGCCGTTGATCTATTAAGCGGTCAGGCTGAGCAGTGGTTGTTGATTTGCCAGCCTCGGCAGCGGGCAGTCCAGAGAAGTTGTTCGCATTCGAAGTGGGGGTGGTGTTATTAATAGCTGTTCCTCCCTTTTCCCCTATGAGCCCCAAAGTGCTCATAGAGCGGGACCTCCTTCGTCTACCAAACGTACCCCTCCCAGCAACATCAGTCATTGCCGCACTGCCAGAGTCGACGTTATGGAAAGCAGCTCTCTGGTTATTCCGTCGGTAGCAGAAGAACAAGAGTGCAGCAACAACAAGAATTATTCCGAGAGCAAGACCAACAAACAACCCAGCAACTTGACCAGGTTTTGAGAAAAAGCTCCCATTGGAGGAATCTGAGGTTGCTACCCGATTTGTTGGTGTGGGTGTGGGTGTTTGCTCGGTGGGAGCGAGCGTTACGGTCTTATAACCGCCAACTGAAGTCACAACACTTACGGATGGCGTAGAAGTAGCTTCGGTCGAGGTAGATTGGGTAGAAGTGGACTTAGCCAAGGTCGAGGAACTCGATGCGCTGGACGAGGAGGTGGATGTCTGGGAGGCGGTCTAAAAATTAGGTATCAGCAAACTACTCCAACGAGGAGGGAGCAAGCAGGCAAAAATAAAAGCTAAATCTAGAAATTATAACAAAAACGCAAGTACTCCATGGTCACCACGTTCTGCAGCAGCGACCACAACCACATCCCCAAGCTTGTCACCGCGCCGGGTTGTAGAAGGGAAAAGGCATACAATAATAACAGTTATAGTGGGTCCAGGTTTTCCTTCAATAGCCATGGAGATAGAAGGAGAATGAGTCGGAGAAAAATTAAAAGGAGCAGGAGTTGGAGAACCGGATTCTCTCACCGTTGATAAGCCGCCTGCGGTCCCCTTAGGAGCATTTGGTAAAGAAATGTACCCAAATAGACCTTTTTTAGTATTCCCACAACTCTCCAAACTATAACCAGGGCAAATTTCATCACACCCAGTAGTGGTTGAAGCTGGGATATAGTCGGAGCACCAGCATTTTGATCCTTGGACAACGGCAAACGCATATTTGGCTTTACAGGTATCGAAACAAAGGCCATGACTCTGGAACATTTCAGTCGCTATATTCCCCAACCATTAGAAGATTTTTTCCATAAAAGTTGCCAAAGGGGTGACATGCCTGCTGGGTAAGAGGATCCAGTATTGACGTTCGAACAATATTCGACGTCTAAAGCGCGCCCCCTCTGGCAAACCATTAAGATAAAGAGAATGGAAAGCTGTATCCACAAGTACCTCCCGTGCACACGCGGACGAAATTGATGCTTTCGTTCGTGGTTTTGTCCATAGGTATGTTTGTATATTCTTCCCATCTCGGGCAATGATACTGTGCTTCCGGCTCGGTGCTGGGTTGAATTTTGTACCATCGTGAGATATTAGTATTGGTGAGCAACGTATTAAGTTGACCTGTTCAGGGCCAGTAGAACCATCCGTAGCCCGATGGGAAAAAAATGATCAAGACGAGAATTGTAGAACCAATTATCGAAGAGCCAAAGGAATACACTAAATGTTCAAAACACCAAAAATATTTTAGAAACCTGCCATGACATTAAAGGAGAGTGTCCCCTAATAGGTACCATATTGATAGAGAAGGGGGATTGGATTTGAAGTCATACCTTGTCAAGTGACGCCGGGACTAATGGAGCGTTTGACCAAACAATCGCGGTCGGAGGCAGACTTGAAAATGGCCAAGAAGAATAAAGCGGTGAGAGAAGAAAAGACTGGTGAGAGAGTGTGTTGTTTTTAGAGAATGAACGAGACAAAATTCTCCAAATACTGTATTGTACAAGTAGTTAACCACGCCAGCTATGTACGATGCTGCCCAGCCCACGTAACCGCGGATGGCGAGGAAGGAGAGAGAGAGATATGAGAGAGAAAGAGAGAGGGAAAGGACAACGTCGAAAGAGGTAAACGAGTGTATAGAATGCCGCCGAAATGGTAAAGGGTTTCAAACGGACAACGTCAAAACGAGAAACAGGAGGTCGATCAACAGGAGGCTATTATTATTCCCGAGATCGGACTCTTTGCGGCAGGTCTTAGGGTTGAACCTTTGGAGGATTGAAGGTTAGCTCAGCTGTTGAAGCTTGCACTAGTCTGGCTCCCCCAAACCCCTTTCCTTCTTACACAAATGAGAGAGAGAGAGAGAGAAAGAAAAGGCCAACAACTTTACTGACAAGTAAACAGACAAAAGGTCGGCTACTTCAGGCAGTCAGACGGAGGACAAAATTTCTGTCTCGTATAGAGCGAAATCCTGTGCGCAAAGCAGCACAAACGGGATTATTTTGGGAAGAAAAAAAAACAAAAGCCAGGCCGGGTTAGACATTGATCGACAAGCAACCCCCCCAGCTTCGGGAGGCGCACGTTGAATACCATGAATTGCCAGCATCCTTCCCTAATCCATCCGTCCGACCCCACCAGGCCGAACAAAAATGGAAAGAGTTTCACGAACCTTTGTTTACTTTTCTTGTTCGCAGAGCTTTCTTTTTTTTTCCTCGTCAAAGGATGGTGCTGCAAGTTCACTATGCAATTACTTTCTCACGGGACGGGAAGGAAGAGCAAAGGGAAGCGAAAAGGTCTAGAAATACTGTACTGTACTCGAGTACCGGCAGTGGTTGGACGGTTACCCAGCGTTCGCAACCAATTCGTCTTCGAACACGGTTAGAGTGGTGGCTGACGGTGGGGTACCGGTATCATGGGTAGGAGGTTTAGTTGGCGTTTGCGGTTCGGAGAAACACTCTCGTTGGGTGGAACGTCGTTCTCTCTTCTCACTGGCTATGGAAAAGGCCCTTCGTTCGTTGCACGGATCCTCTATTCGAAAGGGGAGAGAAGAATGGAGGAATCTGGGATTAACTTCTCATACCGAAGGAAAATAATAAGTCCTTCTGACTCAATTTTTCCACGCGACAATCTCGGTGAAGAAGTTGAGGGAGGAGAAAATTGAGCGAAATGAGAGGGAGGAGAGATGTGCTTCCGGCGATGTTTTGTAGGTTGGCTAGATTCACTCACCCTGGAGGACAAGATACAAAAATTCGGGCCGGACTGACCCTTGGAAATTAAGGACAACAAGGGTGTCATCTGTAGAGTACTCGTACAGTACTCGTATGGTACTGTGTGGTGCTCGAGTGTGCACGTACCAGTACAGTACTGTACATACCGGTAAGTTACCACCAGTATTGGAGCTCACCTCGCCCTGTGACCGGCCACATCTCCAGGCCAAGCGCAGCTTAGAGCAAATTTTGCAAACGATATGACCCGAGAAAAACAAGATACTGTGTGGATGATAAATATCCCCAGTACCGCTATCCTGCATGGTACTCGAGTACGGTACTCGAGTATGAAACCTCACAGCATAGCGCCTCGGGAGAGAATTTCCCCAAAGACCATTAAAATATGGTACTCGAGTACTGAATGACACTGAGTGTCACACAGACTGGGAACGTTGTGATACCCTTATTCCGCCAGTTCCGTGTTGAAACTCGCTGCCATTCTCCTCCTATCGTAATTGCTAGTCTACTGAGCCAGCTAACCACTGGTGGAGATATTTATATCACGCGTCAAGTGGCCCTGTGTGTTCCCCCCCAATTTGAGCATCTTCAGTAGCAAAGCAGGAGAGAATCGCGAACCAGACCGCTTCTATACGTAACGCCACAATGCAAGTCCGATTATCAACAGTTGAACCTCCCCTACGACGGGTCAAGTAAATTTAAACATCAAGTGCGGGAAAAAAAAAACTTGTCAGTGACAACAATCCAAGAAAGAGAAAGGCCGGGGAACTGTTCTGAACTCGAATATCCACCGTGAAGACAAATTCCTTTGTGATTACGTGATTTCCACATAAGCGGCTAATAATAATAAAAAGAAATAAACATTATCTAGAGAAGTGAAAGTCTGTTGGATAGTAGGAGGGGAGTTTATATTAATATAGTTGAAATAAAAAACAACATTAATAGTCTGTGTGCAATACTTGTAATTGAAAGATATTTGCAAATACAATTGCCATCACATACTGTCAAAATTCATTTTATTTATTTATTTTTGTTTTCCTAGTCTATTTACAAACTCTACTCTACTTAATTATCATATTGTACATGGACAAAATTAACCATGATTTAACAAAGGAAAATCTTCAGTGATGACAACCACACTTACCCACCAATCCACTATCATGAAAACCAAAAAAAAAATTAAAAGATGTAAATACATAGTAGAAATTAATCTTTGGTATACTATCTATCAGCCTTAATAATTGCCTCTATTCTATCCACCATTTATCCAGCTAAAGTATTAAAAGTCTTTGGGTTAAGAAGTTCCCAACAATAAGTAATGGCCTCTGCTATTGCCTTCTTGACTACATTGACATCACCCTTCATAAGATATGGCTCAAGGTAGTGCTTATGAAGCTTGCCTTTCACCAGAAACCAAATATTTTCAATTGGATTAAGATCTGGCGAATAGGCAGGAATTTCCATTAGTGTAATTCCCTACCCTCTGCGTTATCTCTTGAAAGGCAAGTGAGTCTTAGCATTATCAATGATAAAAAATATCTCTTCTTCTCCAGCCTTTTCTCTGATATTTTTCCATATTGCTAGAAAGTTATAATGATCATAAACATCAATAATTGACTTCCCAGTAACTCCGCCCCTAGCAGATGAAGGATCAGGAAAAACAGGCAAAAAAAGCCCATGAGTTTGACTATAAAAACAACCAGTCAACATCTGGCTAATCCCTCTCTCCTATCTCCTAGCCTTAGGTTCAACACAATTCTTATTCTATTTCTCATATGGGTATCTGAAAACCCATTTTCTCCTCTTTCCTTCTCTCCTTTCCACAGCTACCTTATCTCCTCTCATTAACTTCCTTCTCCACATCTCCTTTGTCCAATGCCTATAAGCTAATGCCTATTCCAATCTCTCTTGAGTTAGATTCTCATTTAAATAAACACTGTCTTATACTATCCACTTTCTAAGATGCTTTTTTTCAAGTCTTCTCCTTACTCTCCTACTAGAAATATTGGGAGCAACTTGCTCAGCAATGTCAGAATAGGTAGTATGGTGATTTTCAAGAGCTTCCTCCACTATAGCATCATCTTGCGACTTGGTAGTTTTAGGATGTCTTCCTCTACTCTTATTCTCCTTGCCCTCTTGATGTCTCTTTGCAATTGTGTTTCTCACAGTAGTGTATGGAATATTAAGGTAGAGGGAAATTTGTTGATATCTCATCTGAGGCTCGTGTAATCTGAGAATCTTCTCCTGGTAAGCTCAAAGAGATGTATGCAGGGAATAGGTTTTTTAGTCTGACTGCGAAGAATAGGAGGCATAATGTATTGAAAAAAATATTTGAGCAGAATGATTTCTTCTTGGTTGTCTTAGAGCAATTTGTTTAGATAATGTTGAGAGTACAGAGTGATGAAGAAAGGTTGGTTGCCACCGATTGTTGAATTATAGTTAATTTTGTCAACGTATAATACTAGTTCCAGCCCTTGGCTTCAATAATAAGTGTGACCTTTTATGATATAGTATTGGTTATTAGCTAGTTTTATTTTACTATGAAGTTGTGTTAGGAATACCAGAATCCAATACCTAGGAACCACCTTAGGTAGGATAATCACACTCGGAATTGGAATCATTGGTCTTCAACACCCCCCTCTAGCTCCCTTACAGGGCCCGCATGTCACTATACATATCGATCTCAGTTGTGTCCTGTGACTATAATACTATAGAATTGAAAGTGTATGAATAACACCATATACGTTGCCACCGTCCATCAGACCTGATTTTGTGCATAGGATCTATGAGAGGGGACCTTTGGTTAGGTCTAGGAACTGAAACAAAGTAAGTCCGTCAACTACTCAGGAGGTTACTAGACTTCAAAGATGTGAGATCTTTCGAATGGGCAATAGGCTATGGGACCTTTTCACACAAAGAGATGGTATCAAATGATAAAGGACCTCAACGAGGAACCTATTTATTCGCATCCATTCTACGATAACCAGAAAAGTCTAGAGCTCTGAAAGATACTACGACAGAATTAAATATGTTTCATGGAATGTTACAACTAGGTTTTGAAACACATTGTAGTTACGGGAATAATCTCCAATACTAGAACAATGATTGAAATACTGCAACCCAGAGTGACTAAGAGTTACTGACCATGGGATTATCTATTAGTTTAGTGGAATAGCTTTCTGCAAATTAGTAGGAAGTTCTCCAGAAGATATCTGTCAGTTGGGTAGGGAGTTATGAAGGTTTAAAGTCAGGCAACCTAAAAAGGTTGTGATAATGACTATCTTTAGAGACACAACCCACAGATGAAACTGATTATTTCATTAATGACGGAGACAATTAGAGACCAGCTCAGTTTAACTTGAGAACTAGGCTATAAGTTTAAAGACTCTGTTGATCGAGTAATTACTATTAGGAACTACATGGCTCCTATGTAGTTATATCATAATTACCAAAGAGGGTGTAGTGATTTTCAGGGTCTCCAGGTGTTTGCACCTTTGAAGAATACCTGATATTGTGAGTTATAATCAGAAAGGTACATAGTTGTATAATAAATAGATATAGTCTGTGAACAATCAAATGCAGAATATAAATATCGAAGTGTCTCCTAAGCTTTTAGACATCATCAAGCAATGGAGAAGAGGCCTTAACAGTATAATATTGTTTTTACGATTCTATCCTACTTTACCTATTCTACTTCACTCTTAGTCATAAATGAAATGAGTGAAGCAGAGACTTCCTAGAGAATGTCTATCTACGGAAACGAATCTTGGTTGGTATAGACAACTCTGAAGTCTATCAGGTTGTCTCTGCCTAACAAGTTAGGTACTACCTAACAGTTATGCTCTATAGTACCATACTTAAAAACTGAAAATGTTGCTAATAATATGAATTTCACATTTTCCGATTCTTAAAATAAATAAAAAAATCTTTCATTATAACAGATAATCAGCTTAATAGAAAAACTAGAATTCTAGAATGTTAGTTAGAGACTTGAACCAGTAAACTAGTAGTTGAATAGTTTTAAATTATGTGTTAG